CCCTCCACTCCCCTCCACTCCCCTCCCCTCCCCTCCCCTCCACTGGCCTCCACTGGCCTCCACTCCCCGCTGCAACTCTTTTGACCTTGCCCAAATCGAGTATTATTTATGGCGAGCGCCTCCTAGTTTTTGGTAGTTTCTTCGTCCAAACCCGTCCAGTCATTAGGGCATTCACTCACTCCAGCACTCTGCGCACGACGAGGCGATGGCGCTTGGTGTGTAGATCCCAGTCCTTCGGTTCGGCCGTCTTTTGCAACTTGGTGATCAAACTACCTTCACTTCGATCACCGAAGCACCTGGCCACTGCTTCCATTCGCACGGGGCGATTCTCGTCGGTTAAGTCAGCGCCGGCGGCTACTGCTTGTTTGTTCACAGCAAGGACTAGGGGTCTAATCCACTGCTTCAAAGTAACTAGGTCGGTGAGGGTAGTATGACCGATAGAAATCTTGACCGCAGCATTGAGAACGTCTTCCGCAAACCTCGGTCGTTCGGCACAATCCATTGGGTAGTAGGCCTGCACGGGCACAGTAAGAAAGCGGTCGTCTATTTGTAGAGTCAAGTCACGAGATTCTAACTTCTCATCCTCAGCAACATTCGTCAGCTCCAATCGGCCGTTCTGATGAGTAAACAAACTCGCCAGGAACAACTCCGACGGTCCTTCGTTCTTGAATGCTCGGGGACCCTTCATCTAAAACGGAAAAAAAAACCAACAACCTTTTTTATGACGCTCCGAAACGGACCTGCACGCCCTTAAGACAGGACACGCCATTAAGACAGGACACGCCATTAAGACAGGACACGTCCAGAGTTCGTCGATCTGACCGAGTCAATGATCGTACGCTGGGCGAGGAAGAAAGGGAGAGAAGGATTACATATCCCTTATCCTCCGTGCTCGAAGCCTGCCAAGGCCTTGAGGATGGTCGTCCCACTGTTCATCCTTACCCGAAGTCACTAGGTCGCGAATTATGCATCCGTATTCGTTGTTGTTACCGAAGATGCGCAACACCGCTTCCTTTCTAACGTTCCGGTTGTCGGCCGTCAGTTCGTGTCCAGCTGCAATAGTGTGAGCATTCACTAGAGCTATGATAGGCTTTACCACCGCCATCCCGGCCTTCACTGGAACTACTGCCGCGGGTACCACGTGCTCAAACGAGAACTTCACCGCACCTCCAAGTATTTCTTTCGGGTAGCACGGGGGGTTCTTCACCTTCTTGGGGAAGTAGGCCTTCAGACACACTGCTGGAAGACCAGAATCTATTTCCACCACGATGTCTCGAGACTCAAGCGGCTCCCCATCAATTCTTGCGGGCACCAAGATCCCTTCTTCACTCCTAAACAGACAAGCTAACCACGACGTGGAACACCCCCCGTGCCCGAGACCCGTTACACTCCTCATTTTATCTGTTCAAAAATTAAGTAAGCTGCCAAGCCTCAAGCGGTGGTGCTTCAGACATACGACTGAATCAATGGATTAAAGGAACTGAAAAAGTGAGTGCACACACACGTACAACAAGGCAACACTAGGTATGCCCCGGAGACCAGGACAGTATGAACGGCTGTCTAAGGAAGAACGGTGCTGAGTGGGTGGGCGTCAAAAAGTGAGTAACCATAACCGTCTAGTGTCGCTTATTTGACGTGTCCCGTGATCAAAGTCTCTTCGATATAACAGACCTCAAACTTTTACTCACTGTGCGCTGTCACCGACGAGTACCATATCTAGTAACATGACCACGACGAGCATATCGTAAAAAAGGCGGAAACGTTTGACCGTCCTCAGGGGGCGATATACTCGATTAATACTGGTGTTTCATTCTGGAATACTTTTGCAAAAGGCGCTTACCGAGACATATCTATCGGCGCATTTGTGAACGGGTGCATCCTTAAACATGAACCTACATTGGGCAATGGTTTAGCATCGAACTTCGCCTCCGTGTGGTCAGATGAGCCTCTTCATCCGCACTTCATTATCGTGGTTGCCTTCTTTCCGGTGTTCTGTCATCCGGTGTTCTATCATCCGGCATCCTATCACTTACCCTCGTCTTCTGCACTTGAGAATGAGGGTGTCATCGTCATCGGACTCGCTGCCGTCGGACTCATCGTCCTCCTCGTCGTTAACGACAGTCCAGGCGTGCAGGCGAGTTTCGTCGTGCATGTCCCAGTGGATGCGGTCCGTAGCCGCTAATTGAGTCGCCGCTGCCGCTTCTTCTTGGTCGTTTTCGTCCGAGTCGAATAGGAGGCGGACGTAGTCGCCTTCTCCGTTGTGGTCGAAGAAGCGCGCCACGGCTTCCTTACGGACAGGTCGGTTGGCGTCGGTAAGGACGGCGCCAGCGGCAATGGCATTGGCGTTAACCAGAAGCACGAGCGGCCTGATCCATGCCAGTTTCTTACGCACAACTTCCGTGCTAGCTAGCTGACCACCGGGCAAGTGAGCGCCGTGCAACTGGCGCTCATCCAGCTGGACCGCCGCCTCTGGATCTCCAGGTCGAACCTGCAATCCTCGCTGGTTTGGGAACAGGGCGTCAGACGACCATCCTCGGACCGCTTCGCGAAGAATACAGAGCGTATCCTCCCCGGCCGGAAGCCCGCGTGTGTCCAGTGTCAGGTACAATGTGGGGTGTGTGCCGTCGAGCTGCAAGGCGACCCGATGTCGGATTAAAGTGGCGTCGTCGAATTCTGAATGCGACTGCAGCATCCCTCCGGCGCCGACGCGAAACAACCCCGCCAACAACGTGCTCTGACTCACACGCCCAAACACCTCGAACCCTCTCACAGGCTCGAGCGCTCTCATATTTATTTTTCCCCGCTCTCATGCGACAAAGCCGTCATCGCCCTCACCACAGGCGTGCTCACTCAGTATATGCAGCAACCCCACAGCACCGACAGGGGCGGGCGGGCTGACTGACTCGGCAGTTCGTCAGTCAGTCAGTCAGTCAGTCAGGCAGGGGCTGAAGTAGATAATAAGAGCCGTACTAGCCAGCCATCCAGCCAGTCAGGCGGTTCATCGCAGCCACTGTCGTGATCCGGACGGTGAGCACGTCCACAACAACAACGACATCGTCTATGAGCTCGTTGGTGAATTCGTTTCGTGTAAATATTGGTGAGGGAAAAACGTAGGTGATCTGAGGAACATTAACCGCAGCGAACAACTTGGTTGGGAGTTCATGGCCGACGGTTAGACCCCGCAGTCAGTGGGGACCATATTGATTATGACGGCGCCGGGTATGTGGGTTGATGGAGGGTCCGAGAACTGATAGGTCGGCGAGGCTTCGACCACTCCTGCTGGCGTGATTGGCGTGAGATACGTAGGAGCCGGGCTGATGGGAGTCTGGCTTAAGGCCAGGTTCAAAGAAGCTGGGTCCGTATTGCATGGCAGGCCAGCATTACAGGCCGGGCAGGCGTTGCAAGCGGGGCAGGCATTGCAAGCCGCGCACGGCGCCCTTCCTGGGTATATGTTTCCTGGCGCGTACATGTTTGTTTGCGCTTCATAGCTGCACGCCTCACACGGCGGAGCATACATTGGCGGGGCCACACACGGCGGCGGGGCCACACACGGCGGCGGGGCCGAGCACGCGGCGTGGGTGAGAAGCATGTGGGCTCTGAGGCGATGCTCTTCTATGTCGCACTCGTCCTCGAGCTGTTTCTCTCGCAGGCGCCGGTCCGCGCGCGCCTTGTAGGATATGAAACCGCCCACGCAGACCATCAGCATGCCGGCCGCCAGCGTCACCGAGACGCAGATGACGACGATACGGGTCCTATTGGCGTCCTGCGCCGCCAAGGTCGAAGACCAGTTGCCCATCAAATAAAAATTGCGACCACTCGGGCTCGAGCTCGGGCCCAGTGCCGGGGGAAAGGTCTCCTTCAAATCGGGAAAGGGCTGGGTGCGCTCCTTGGGATAGTAGCTAGGGATAGTTAGGAGGAAGTTACGGGAAACTGGCGTCTGGGGTTCGTGCCTGGGATGCAGTAAGAAAGGGTCAGGCCTATTTGTCAGACTTAGTGGTGCAGGGCAAGTGCCACTAGCCACCTGTGCAGAGGAAACTCTTCGGTGGTTTCTGCGAAGTTCAACTGGAAGTTGTCTCCGAGGGTAGTGTCTTGACCAGGTCGCGCGATGGGGAAGTTTTGGATGAACCAGAGTTCGCTGGTAACGATGGGGAGTAGTGCGTAGATGAGGAGGCTGAGTGCGAGGAAGCCCAAGAGCGTCCGCTTGACCATTTTGCGGTCGGTGCTTCGGATGAGGAATTTTAAGAAGAGCCACCAGAGGAGCGGGATGGATTCGAGGAGCGAGTAGTCCGAGTAGCAGGACGTGTTCTCTTCGTCAGCGGCGGCCGCATCCGAGTCAGCGCCCAAAGGCGAGTGCTCCCTGAGGCGAGGCGTGCCGTCTAGGTTTGTTCCTGGAGCCAATGTCCCTGCGGCGGAGGCCCCATCAGCGGAGGCCGCTGTGGCGTCCGCGGGGGAGTTTGAGTGGGGAGTGTGCCCTTCAGGTGGCAAGCGACCGGCTTGGTGCCCCGTAGAGGTGGCTTGGTGCCCCGTAGTGGGGCTTCGTAATGGGCTGATGTTGGGCGAGGCGTCGTTGGTCCCAAAGCGGGGGTGGCCGAGGGATATAAGTTCCTTGTTGGAACGATCGCATTGGGGGCACCGGTAGTAGACGGACTGGGAAGCGAGCTGTCTGCGGGTGGAGTCTGTCCAGTCCAGCGAATAGGCGGCGTTTTCCCCGGGCGTTGTGAAGAATGCGTGAATGGCGTCCAGAATGGACCCAATGCCCCATGCAGGTTGCCACTCCTCTGGGTGGTAACTGGTTACGTTTAGACAAATCGGCTTGCCCACATCGAAGCGACCATTCATCGTCATAAAGTAGATGCTAGGCGGTGCCAATGGGTAATTCGGAGGCAACGTAATACGTCCATGATACAACCCCTTTTCAAACGCCGAATCCGCCGGACCTCGAATTGTAAAGTGCCACTCGAAAGGTTCCTCCGAATTTAACGGATGCGTACTCCAAGCTAACTCTCGCCCAGCTGCCAACTCCCCCTCCACACGTGTGCTAATGTCCCTCCACTCCTTGAAAATGCGCCGGATCGATGACGCGTGGCTCTGCATTAATTTACCCGAATATCATCCCAACCCAATATCGACCCCACCATGGGTTAATGGCTGTACGTGACGTGGATAGACAATATGAAAGATAGGGACAAGATGGGGATGGGGATAGGGACAAGATGGGGATGGGGATAGGAACAAGATGGGGGTGGACAAGATGGTTGGGCAAGACGGTGTTACAGAGCGTTACTATTATGGCACGTGTCGCATGCGCGCTCATACCTACTACCCGTACTCATTCATGATCAGTGGCGTGCTGATAAGTGGCTGCTACTAGTGGCTTGCCCAGAGGTCCCGCGGTTGTGGACTTTGATCGTCTAGCTCCCCGCGTGGGTTACCCCACATTGGACCCCCCACAGCCCCCCCCCCGAAACACGTGTGATTCAGATGAGAGGTTGGGCCATCATTGCGGGATTGGTTGGCGTAGCCAGTGGCACCTGCGCGTCTGTGCAATTGTGGTTGCAGATCGATGGGACTAAGTCGTTCGACTCGTTGGTTGATGACCGGGCTGCGTACGTGACCGCGTTTATCAACGGCGTGAAGAACACGGTGCCGACGTTCGACTACGGAGTGTCCGTGTTTGGCGATCGGCAACCGGCCGACGGGGCGCAGACTACATGTTACTACGATGTGGTTGGAACGGGAAACACATCGGACAAGGAAAGCAAGACCAAAGCATTTTTTGAGGCGTTTGAGTCGGTGGATGATCAGGACGCGGCGGAGGACTCGATTTCAACGACGGCGTACCTGGTGTCTACGCAATACCCCCCGGACCTGTTGGCGAACACGAACAAGGTCATGGTGATCGTGACGGACGCCGCGGGCAAGGCTAAGGGCGAGGGCGGCGATCTGGAGGGCAGTACGGCGCTTGACAACCCTGACTCGTGCGTGACTTGCGATCGCAGCTTCGAATTGGTCGACAAGACCGCGTTCCAGAATTATCTAAGCTACTTTGACATCGCGCTCATTGTCATCACCACCGACGACGCCGCTAACTATTGGACGGACATTGTGAAAACACGCGGCCGCGGCGGCGTCCTTCTCACCAAAGGCGACGGCTCCGAAGACGCCAAACGCGTCGTCGAGGGTCTCGTCCAGTTCAACTGCTCCTCCACAGACGGCGGCACCGACGGTGGAGGCAAAAAAGGAGGCGGCAAAACTAAGATCATCATCATCGCACTTGTCTGCACCCTACTCGTCCTCGCAATCCTCGGTGCCGCCGCCTGGTGGTGGCGCAAGAAACAGGCTGGAGGCGGCGCCCCCAAGCCTAAAGCTGCACCCAAGGCCGCTGCCGCGAAGAAACCGGCAGCAGCCGCCGCCGCCGCCGATGAAGAGGAAGAATACGACGAAGACGAGGAAGGCTACGACGAAGATGAAGAAGGCTACGACGAAGATGAAGAAGGCTACGACGAGGAGGAAGAAGAAGAAGTATAAACACCATCCCTTAGCTCCTAGTTTTATACCAGCGGCATACACCGTCCATTATACCTTAAAAACTGTAAGGGGCAGGGCGACCTTGGTAACGATCGGGCAACAAGGACGGCAGCACAACGAGAAGCATAGCAGGGTAACAAAGGGCAAGGAGTCAAAGGGCAAAGAATAGGACAGCAAAGAAGTCGGTGAAATAAAGAAGGAAGGAAAAAAAAATAACATAACCTGTTCAACGTTGGTCAGTAATGACGCCACCGATAACTTGGATGCCGGTTGCCAACACTGGCGTCACAGTTTGGACGCTACCCAATCAGACACCCAGAGCTCAGAGGGCGCGGTGTATTCGGTCCTGAAAAACAGAGGGGTTGGGGAAGCGTGGTCAGGGGGTCGTGCGCGGTGGCTAGCAAGCGGTGCGCGGAAGGTGTACTTACAGTATGGAGTGGAGTTGGCGGAGGTAATGTTTAATGAAGGTGGTGGGTGGCGCGTCTGCGAAGCAGAGGACGATGGAGGTGAGGTCCCAGAGATGTTCCGCATTCCCGGCAGCGTGTCTGAGTAAGGCGGTGGCCTCTTGTAGAACCAGTTCCGGCCGGACGGTTTCTCCGAGGAGCAGTCTCCGGATATGTATCAGAGCTCGCGGAGTGCCACTTCTCGAGGCCGTCGTGAAGAGCAGCCGGAGCGATAAGGCATGGGGAGAGCTTTCTCTCGACTCCCCCTCGGCTTGCCTCTCCGCCACGAACTTGGCACACGCCTGCTTCAATGACTGCGTCCTGCGGAGCGCGAAAACCATTTCAAGAGGGCTCTGTTTCTCGGAGTCCTGCCGAGACTCCAGATCCTGCAACGGATCAAAAACCCCGTCCCTGCACCGAGGATCGCTCCCAGATCCCGGCCCAGACCCCGGCCGTAGTATGCTGGTTCTAGTAACTGAACACGCTCTAGTCGCCGAGTGAGCTGTCGTAGTGGAATTGGCTCTACCGGCCGAAGGATCCGCCGATCGATTGCGCTCTCGACCCCGCAGTCGGCTGCTCCGAGGCCTCTGTGACCGACTTCTGGGCGGCTGAGTTCTGCTGGGTGGCTGAGATGTACTTGCCGGCTGAGTTCTGCTGGGGCTGCGTGCGTGACTCTCGACCGTCCGCCGTCTCGGCGATCTCATTCGTGCCTCCGTAGCGACTGGTTCTGATCCAGCGCCTAGTTCTCGGACCTTTGGCTCTTTAGCCCTTGGCTCTCCGGTTCTTGGCTCTTTAGCCCTTGGCTCTCCGGTTCTTGGCTCTTTAGCCCTTGGCTCTCTAGCTTTTGGGTCTTTACCTCTGGGCTCTCTCACCCCTGGCTGCCTCATTGTCGTGTCTAGATCCCTTTCGGCTTGTTTAGTAAGTCCCGGCCTAGATGCCGTCCTACCACCTCGTTTCCCGAGGCGAAAGTTCAACGCACCGCTCGGGCTGAATCCTCCACTGGGAGAGCGGAATCCAGCAGGCGGGTCATATAAGCTGAACCGAGACGTCACTCCGATGAGCTCATCCAGATTGAGGTCCACTCTCTTTCTCCTGGCAGTAAGTTTGTCGACCATCTCCGGACTCAAGGAGACCGGCGAGCCAAACGAGTGCGGACTTGGAGTGGAGGGCGGCCAAGTGCTATCATTCAGGTCGTCAATGATGATGCGGCCCAGCCCCCCGGCTGATACCGCACCTCCGCTAGAAGTGCCCGCAATCGTAGAGGAGCACGAGCAAAAGCTCGAATCGGTTCTAGGTGGGCGCAAGATATCCAGCGCGTCGAGGCGGGCGCGAGCCGCGTCAGGCAGCGCTATTCTCTTGGAGGCATCAGCCTGAAGACAATGCGGAAGAGATTTATAGTCAGAACGGCGTATACAAGCTGCGCCTGGACACCCACGTTTTATGCGCACACATCGCGCGCGCAGACGCACTTAAATCGCGCGCGCACACGCACTTAAATCGCGCGCGCAGACGCACTTAAATCCCGCGGGCAGACGCACTTAAATCGCGCGACTATATATGCATAGTAGACCTAAAATTTAAAGGAAAACTTACCAGTTGGAGCAAGTGAGGCACGCTATACTTTATGGGTCCGCACTGGAAGTCAGGATGCACGCAAGGATCTTCGTTTCTTCTTGAGGGCAATAGTCTTCGGAGGATCGAAGACATCATTCCAGGTGCACCTCGGTCGGGCATGTGCTCACTATGAAATTACCACTCATATATTTATGGCCCAATTAAGGCTCATCTGAGACATCTTCATCGCTTAGATGATCGCTTGCACCTATAGATGGTCACAATAGCGTTATTCAAAATTCTTGTAGACAACTGTTACTTTATCGGCGACTGACAAGATGCTACGGAGGTGTGCAATCCACTCCTTTAGATAAGAAAGCTGGGCGAGGGTGAAGCGGTCTAGGTTGGCCTTCCACTCCTTTTGGACATCTCCACCGTTAGCTACTGATTTGGTCAGATATGGGGGTACCTTGGTTTCGTCTCTGGATCTTCCCCTTGAGAAAACCACCGTTAGATCAAGAGTGGTACCAACTGATCGTATGCTGCTGAACATCTGAAGCCAAAGATGCAGCGTTATAAAGTCTAGCATGGAGATTCTCGCCTTCACGCTGGACGCTTCCGATGAAACGAAGTCCTCCCGCTTCAGGTCATCGGTATGGGCTTGATGCGCGGGATACGACAGTGGGAACGAAAGCAGACTGAACGCCTTTGTCTTGGAGTCAAATCCCGCATACACTAACGAGCGAGATCGTCCTTCCACAGTCAACCGCTTCACGCTGCCAATGTGGTCCAAGAACGCGGTCAAGCACGTGAACCGGGGTAAGGAACCAAACGGACCAATCTTCTTTTTGTTGTTAGCGGCTCTCGAGGACGCCGGGGTTCTCGAAGAAGCATTTGGAGTCTTTGAAGAAACCAGGGGAGTCCTTGAAGAATTGTCAATAGACTTGGAAGGTGATTCCTCATATTTCAGAAGCTCTTCCACACAGCTCTGCGGCAGGGGCGGGTCGCAGTTCAGTAGCTGCAGTTCAATGTGTTGTATGTCGTCAAACCGATGAAGTAAAACAATCAAGACGTGGCTGGCATATGCAGTCCCTTGTTCAGGAGCTGGATCTTTCATACACTGAATAGCAACACCAAAGGGGATAGGCAACGCCAAAGGAGATGCCTGAAGCAAATCAATAGCTCGCATGTGATGTGTTTGCAATATATCTGTAATGAGCACACGTGTGCGCTTCTTTTTTTCAGTCGTCTCCGCGTCCGCAGGCTCGGTCGGAGCCGCTGAATCTCGTTTCCGCTTCAGCCCCGACGCGTTAGGGTCGTCCTTCTCCTTAAGGAACTCCAGAAGCGTGGTTTGCTGAACGCCTGCTTGCTGCGTGCCCGTTTGTTGACCCTCGGGTGTGCTCTCTGGGAGAATAGTCCATTTAGAATAAATCTTCTGTAGGAGGGCTCGAAACTCGGGCCTTTCATCCTCAACGGCCATGCCGCCTTGCTGACTCGGCCCGTCCGCGGGATCAGAGTCATCCGGAGGATCCAGCTGTCTGGAGAGCACCCAGACCAAGCAGTCAAATGCATATTTCCTCAAAAGCTCGTTCGTAAGGGGTGCATTTGAAGTTTCAGACCCCAGATTGATGGGGCTCGCCAAGGCCTTGATAACGAGACTGCTGTAGTCTTGCTGGTCTGCCATTACTAATTCGCGAAGCAGAAACCCTCTTTTTGCGAGCGCCGAGAGGTAGAGGAGCGTGACCGGAGATTCAAACAAGGTTTGCCACTGACTGGACGTCGGTTCCCTCTTCGAGGGGGGTGGGGATGAGCTGGTGACGTTCTTTGAGCTGGTGGCCACGGTGTCATGAGTCCCATCGACTGCATCGCCGCCTCCGATAAGTTGCTTGCCCTCCAGTAGCCTTTTTGCGTCTACCAAGAACTGGGTTTCCCTGTATTCGGTTAGGCATACTACATACTCAACAACTGAGATCCACAACATCTTGTTGTAGTAGCGGTCGTCTTGCGGGAAATAAGGCGAGATGTAACGGACACAGAGGTTCCTCAGGCTGCTGGCAAGGCTGCCGTTGGCATCCAGGTCAAAAACGTTAAGCTCTGTGTTGTCCATGGGCGGCTTCAGGTACTTCAAGAAACTAGGCAACTGTTTTACGTCATACGGCAGCGGCAGCTTGCCAACAGACTGTCCGCCATCCAGCTTCCCGCCATCGAGCTTCTCGCCATCCAGCTTCCCGCCATCCAGCTTCCCGCCATCGAGCTTCCCGCCATCGAGCTTCCCGCCATCCAGCCTCCCGCCATCCAGCCTCCCGGCACCAGAGCCCGACTTCTCTGCAGAGCCATTCGTGTGTGAAGGGACGGCCGCTTCCGGAGCCATCGTATCCAACGTGGCTTGCGAAGGCTCCACATGCATGGACGGCGGGGTTGCCTGTGGGCCTTCGTCAGAGCGACCAATCTGGTGTTCAGGGTGCGAGTGATCGGCAGCCTGTGGGTGGTCGGTATGTGGGTGTGGGTGGTCGTTGGGTACAATGGATTGTTTGTAGGGGAGTACGTAGCACATGAAGCTTGTGTGGCACACGAGTTGCATGACGTCCTTCATTTCTGCTTCACCCAGTGCGTTGAGTTTGACTGTGTGGTGTTCGGCGTCCACAGTGACAAGTTCGTAGCTGTTGAAGACGCTTTTTTGAAGCGACTGGACGCGCTTCGACGTCACGACGTACTCGAGGCAACGTAAAAAGCATTGACAGAGCATAGGGACTCTGCACCGGCGGGCGACCTGTCTCCAGCCACGGGGCGTGTAGACATGCGGTAACTGGGTCGGCTTGGTGAACTCATATCTAACAATGTCTCTCTGTGCGTCGTCTCCTGCCTCCTCTTCGCTCTCGTCGTCCATTACGAACAAATGTTCCCCTGACGTGTACAAACTCTCTTCCCAAACCCCCTCGTCCTCTTCGTCCCCACTGCCGCTGCTGCTGTCATCCAAAACCAAAATGTCTTCCTCGTCGTCGAACAAACTGTCCGTCCGGTCATACTTCTCTTCGCCCCGACCCAGATAGGAACGCGGGTCCGCCAAAATGCCGTGTCGGTTCAACCGAAATTGGAGGTCCCGCAAAGCATTGGAAAACGAATCCACACGTGGCTCAGTCGTCTTAATCGGTAGCCCAGGCTCGTTCGATTCCACCACTTGTCGCACCACCGTTATTTTCTTCTTCGATTTCGTCTTCACCAAATCTTCAGAAATGTCCTCCACCAACCCTTCTCCTACCGCCTCCACAGACCCACCGGCCGTGGCCTGCATCGAACCGCCCGCTGAGGCTTCGCCCGAACCGCCTGTCGAGGAGGCGTCCGCGGGGGAAGCCACAACCGGCTGCACCGTACTTGAAACCCCTAGACCCGCGTTCGAGTTCTCGAGACCGGAGGACGTCCCCGGCCCTGTGGAAAAGCCCGGTCCCGCAGACACCCCAGGATCCGCAGACCCCCCAGGATCCGCAGACCCCCCAGGATCCACAGAGTGGCTCGCCTCCTTGGGTATCTTGGCATCTCCCTCTCCCGTCGCGGCAGCCAAACCTGTAGGAGCTAAGCCTGAAGGAGCTAAGCCTGAAGGAGCTAAGCCTGTAGGAGCTAAGCCTGAAGGAGCTAAGCCTTGGGGGGTCAACCCCGAGGGGAGAGTCAAACCTGTCGCAGCCAAGTCCGGCAGTTTGGGGTCGGCCACGGCGCTGGTCGGTTCTTCGTCGTCCTCCACCTCGATCACGTCGTCTTCCTCGTCTTCCTCGAGTTCCTCCTGTTTACGTTCGTCTTCCGCAATTGCCTGCTGCCCATGGCTCCGTAGGATTTCGTGCCGATACCAGAAGAACCGTGGCAGCAGATCCGAAGGCGCGACCGTCTTGATGTCCTCGGGCGCATCCCCGAACCCAAATAAGCAACTCAGTCGCGGCATCGCACAGGCGGCGCACACACATTTCGGCCGATGACCGCTCGGCGAACTCGATGACCGCTCGCTCAGTGGTGAGTCTGACGACGAGTGCTTACCCGACAACCGTCCTGCAGCCGCCGATCGCCGTCCTTCGCTCCTCAGGTAACTATATATGGATGCCCACACGTCCTCTCGTAGCTCCGCCGGGTAGTTGCTGATATCTGACAACACCGACCGCTCCAGGGCCGATGACATCCACAAGTCACTCTGGTAACGGAATACACGTCGCCCAGCTCCCTTGACCTTGTTGCGCTGCTTGCCATCGTCACTGCTGTCTACACCACTATCTACACAGACACCATACAGGTACACCACACACACTTCTCGCACACACACACACACACACACTTCTCGCACACACGTGTGTTACACGTACCTGAACCGATAGCTGCAACTGCATCGACCATTCACAAAAATAAAATCATATGCCCCGATCCTTTATCTAAAAAGACTACCGTGAGTGAAGTCCCCCCCCACCATCCACTTCTCCGAAACATAAACATTCGTGAACTGCAACGCCTGGAAGTTCCGAAACGCCCGAGAACAGAGGTGATCATGGACCACTCTCACCTTCAAAGGATACGCCAAGTCTGGCTTCACATTAATAGCTATTATTAGGAATCCGAGCAGTAATAACGCGGCATAATAGATCTCAATTGTCAGGCGGTACTTCACACTTGTCCTATCTACCATCGACAGACGGTAGCGTGGGGGAGGGGAAGGGGAAGGGGTAGATAGGGCCTGGAACCAAGGGTGGGCAAGTGTCGTTGCCGGCCCAAGTGTCGTTGCCTGCCCAAGTCTCGTCCCACGTGTCGTTGCCGCTGATCCATTCACTCGTATTAATCTTCGCTAAAACGTGTGCTGCACGTGTGCTGCTAGTTGTTTCGCGTCCAGTGGTTCGCTTACTAACGCATTCCGTGCTCACTCTGGTGGCGTTTTTGCACTGACGGAGAAACACGTGTCGACAGACTTCGGGAGTGCACATGGAGCACCTGGCCGACGTGGGCATCACCATGGTAATCTCCTCGATCACACTCTCATCACACGAGCACCGGCACAAGTCTCCGTAGTCCTGAAAAAGGCGTAGTCCTTGTGGGACCGCACAGTGTGGTGTGTGGGACAGCGCAGCGTGGTGTGTGGCCCCGCACGGTAGCTGGGACCGCACTGACGGGTCGTGGCACTTGTGCGGTCCACGAGGTGCGTTGCAGGGAGAGTTACCGCGAGCGCCAAGAGAGGCAGGAGCGACAACTTCATTTTTGATGCGACCGAAAAGGCGGCGGGAGGCGGTCGAGAAAACGGACGGGGATGTGATACAGTACATAGAAGAGCGTCTCCGGTCCTTGAGTGACGGAGAGACGGCCCGCGGACTGGGACTGGTGGTATCATACGATGGGGTCTTGTGCTCCACGACCAAAGGCGAGACCGGAGCCGAGAGTGAGTCCGACACGTACCCGGCCGACTATCCCTACGAGGTGAAGTTCGACGGCCAGCAACTGCTTTACAACACGCGCTGGACCAACTGGGCACCGTACTACGACACGTGGGAGCCGCGCGAGAATTTCGAAACCGCGACCTTCAATGACTTGCTTTCCTACCTGGCGCTCAAGTTCTTTGCCCTATGGCTAGGACAACGACGTCGAGAAGGCTCCGATAGAGTTGAAATCGGTTCTGACAAAGGTACCGCCCTTGACAGTCAGTTTGTTTATGAGATGAGGAATCTTATCAAATTCTTCCCGACGTCGCAAAAGACGGTGCAAATGTTCCTTTGGTACGATTCAAAGAAGTTCGTGAATTGGGAGCTGGGTGCGAAGGTTCCCCCATCGGAGGGTGCAGGACGGAGCTATTCCGAAGCTTTGAAGAGCTTGATGTTCCATCTGACCGAGGTTATTCCCGGTAACACTCTCTGGTACTGGCAGGGAGACCACGACCCCAGCTTCAGCCACTACCGGCTGCCCAAGAGCAGAGCCGTCGACTTGAACTCTGTGCCAGGAGAGGTGCTGGTGGACTTGCACAGTTCGGAAACTTTACTTCAAGTATCCTACCCACTTAAATTCAGAGCTGATGCCTCCGAGGAGGTGGAAGCTGTGCAGAAACTGCGAACGGCCTGTGCCGTCCGAAGCTCTGAGCAAAAGAACACGCATGGGATAAATACCCTTGAGGAAGACACGCGTGTGACGGATATGGGTGAGAAAACAACCGGAGGTTATAAAGAACGAGATATCACCGTTCAACAACAGCGTCGACCAAGTTCGCCCGCGGCCAAGGGATGCCGTACGGCATGCTCGGACTTGTCGGGAATTACGTCCGTAACTCTCGCTGAAGGCTGCCCTCCCGCTGGAGACTCAGCTGACCCGTGGGGGGAGGCTAGGATTAGTTGTCACCTGAGTGGAGGCAGGATGACCGTCCTCGACGATGAGACGGTGCAGCAAGACCTAATTTGGCGACCGCCGTGGGCCGATCTGTCAGCGGCCATACGAAGGCACGGTCAGTCACTGCTGCCTGCCTACAGCTCGTTACGGTCGTATGTGCCCTTGCACATTGAGAATATGTTGAGCATCGAGGAACCGGCTACGAGCGAAGCAGCCGGACATGCACAGAGCAAACTGTGGAAGACACGGGCGTCGGAGGTGAATGTGTGGAAGGTCAATGTGGTGGCGGCGGCGACCGATTCGAAAGAAAATCGTAGCGCCGACCCTGTGTGCTCTGACTCCAACTCTAAACATGTGCACCCGATCACAAAGCAAGTGTGCTTGCTCTCTTTTAGGCGCTACTACGGCCACAGTGGACCCCAGTCGGTGTGGGTAGATGCGGGGGTGGTGGCTGGTCAGTTCCCGTTTTTATTGGCTAACTACTTCTGCGACCAAGTCATCAGCGAGTACATACGTACGTGTACTGTCGAGTTCGAGTTATTCTTGCCCGGGTTGTTGTGGGAGGCCCGGTGGGCGCTTGCTGACCCGGAGCAACTGCGGAGCGTCACGGTTCAGTGGGCGGACAAGCGCCAGAGAGGTGGTCCCTCCAAATCGCGGAGGAAAGCAGAAGCGGAATGGCAGATGAAGACGCAGATGACCACCCAGACGACAACGCAGACGAAGGAGGAAGAGCAGGGGAGAAGAGGGCACTATACGGTCGCGACAGAGGCGGAAACGACCGGGGCGGATTATGCGTCAGCGTCAGCGACACATTCTTACCGGGGGCCGCAGGAGGACCTGGTGGTCATCGACAGTTCCGAAGACGAGTTGGACAAGAGCAGAGCAGGGGACAAGAACAGGGCAGGGCGCCGGAGCAGGGCAGGGGCCGACCCGGGGTCGCCTCAGGGACAGTTGCGTAGTCGCTTAGCCGCGTCGGAGTGGGTGTTGGTAGCACTGAGGGGGCGGTTTCAAGACGTGTTTTCGGCTTTGTACCAGCTGGCCGTGACCTTTGAGAAACTCCGGATCGAAGTGGACGGGGCGGAGCTGAGACAGGCACTCAATGTACCGCAACCGGAACCTGTGTCGGGCCACGACACACGCATCGTCCTCATGCTGCCGCTTCCCCGGTCACCACCAACTGGTCAAAAGGCGCCACCCAGTGGTCATGACGCGGCGGTCGACCCGGCCCCAGCGGCGGCGAAACCTCCCACGTTCGACTGGTCCCCCTTCCTTAACTCTCCCGGAACCGCCGATAATTCTGGCGCCAAAGACAAGACCGAGGCCAGAACTAAGACCGAGAACAGAACTGAGACCGATCAGGGTCGGTTGACGGAGTGTCTGGGGCCGCGTCCGGGCGAGGTGGCGTGGTTGATACGACTTATGCGAGGTGTGTGCGGCGAGGGGGCGGTTGAGTACCCGCCGTTCAAGTTGAGTCCGGCGTCGGACGCACATTTGCACAAAACCGCTGCGTTGGTCGGGCCTTACACTGGCGTGCGAGAAGAACCTTTCGTCGCACCCCTTCTCTTCTTCGACCGACCTGTCAAGGCCATGCTGTGTGTGCAAGCCGCGCTCGCCGCACTTGTTAAACGTCATGTTACCACACACGTGTGCGGCGCACGCGACTACCTCCTCTACAGAACTTTCTTCTGCAGTCCCGGCCTGCGGGCCCCCGGGTCGGGGAAGCGGGGGCCCGGAGATGACTCTGCGTTATATCGTCAAGTGCTCGCCATGCCCAGGCCCCAATTTTTCGACGACCCGCGCACGTTCCATCAAATCTGCCAACTCGAAAACTCGTTGTGGGCCCAATTGCTGGCTACCTCGCCAGACGCACCCGCCCTTCCCCCGCTGAACCTGACCCGCGTGATCTCCCCACCGACTACCCGGGCAATGACCGCCCCGAGCGTGACCTCTCCGGCCACCGCAACCGTGGCCGCTGAGCTTGGTCTGCGCGACCGCTACGCCCATTTGTTGGCGTATGGGCTCTTGTCCTACGGATGCCCCGCACCCGTGTGCCCGAATGAGACGACTTTCGTCCCGGCCGCCTTCCAAGTCGACGAGTGGGGTGACCTGGTCCTTCAAAATCACACCGGGGCCCGCGCTTACTATCTCGGCCCGTCTTTCAGCCGCAACGACGTCCAGGGGCACTTTGCGCCCGTCGTAGATGACTGAGACAGTAGGCTGGAAGGGTAACTGATGGGAAGGAGAACTGACCCGGGGTGTGGTGGCTGGGTTTTTAGGTGGAATAAGTAATGCGCCAGGATGCCCGTCAACAGGATGTACACGGCCGTGGTGTGCCTGTTATTCCTGTTGGTACCGCTGGTGTGCTTCATTGAGGGCAGTTACTTTCTGACGATTCCGTTGTGCGTGATCAGTGTGGTGTTTATCTACGGTATCGACCGCAGCCGCGATGTGACGCCGTTGCCTTCTCCACGCGGGCACAGCGCCACCGTGTTACAGCCGACCACTTTCGAGTCTAACAGGGCGCAGTACGCGTCGCACCCACAGTTGTGCAACCTGGGTTATTCCACAGACTCTGCGGACGACCCGGAGGCTGGGCGGAACGTTGGTTTGGATCTAAGCGGCGACCGCCGGTCGCTGCAGCTGCGCGTGCAGCCGGGTTTGGTTCGAGACGACCCCGCCAAAAACGACCCTCGGCTCCACTCAGGGGAGCCGCCCCGCGAAGGCCGCCGTTCGGGAGAAGGGCGGCGTCTGCGCACGTTTAGCAGTGATATTACGAGCGATTATTCGCACAGCAAACCGTTACGTCGGAGTGACGGTTCGTGGTTCAGTAGCAAGTGGCAGCGCAAACTACCGGGTTGGCGTTTTGATCCGCGGAACACGCTCTCCGCGTTGTACTTTTGTTGGGGGCTTCAGGGATTTGCGCGTTGGGTCTTCCTCGAGTTCCTCGTCGGCTACCTCACCCTCAAGCGTGAGACAACCATCCACGAGCAGAGCGTGACCGAGGCCGTTAGGCGCATCTGGGATTTGGAGACCGGCGTCTCACTTGTCCCTGCGGACTATTCCACTGGCGGCCACGTGGAAAGCACACATCCAGGCCTCGCAACCAACGGCGAATTCCTTGCCGCAAGACACATTAGGAAAGGTCTTCTGAAACTACCCCTCTTCGTCGCACCTGTGGGCACGCCACTTGGCAATAATGGTACCGCGTCCACTAAGGATGGTACCGCAACCCCGGTTCTATTCCCGGCTTTCCGGAACCCAAATGTTACCACTCTTATAGACAATGATTTGGTCTCGGCACAGGGTGTCAGTGGACAGGGAAAGGCCTCATCGGAGCTGATAGCCACTGCAGGAGGTTGGCAGCTCCGGAGTTTAAGTGAACAGTTTCTCATCGATTTGGCCCCGAGTGAAGGAGGTGTGTCGATCGTCTTACCTTGTTTGAACGAGCATGACTACGTTGGTCGGACGATTGAGAGCATTTTTGCGGAGACGAATCCTTATGTGCTGCGTGAGATTATCGTGGTGGACGATCAGAATGAAGTTCCAATTGCTAAAGCTATTCCGCCGTCTTTGTTGAAAAGTCCCAAGTTGAAAATACTAGTGAATCAGGAGCGGCAAGGTCTGATTCGCTCAAAACAAATCGGGGGGGATCATGCTACAGGGGACGTAATCATCTTCCTGGATGCTCACATTAAGCCTTATCCACATTACTTGTCCCATTTGTTACGAGACATCCAAACGAATCCAAATCGCGTGGTTGTGCCGGCTATCCCGATATTGAACGGAACAACTTGGCAACAAGACGGTAATGCCGTAGGATACAAGATGATGTTCGATTGGGACTTACGCTTCAACTGGTTTGAAGATGATGACGATGAGGTACCCATCATGTCAGGAGGACTGCTCGCTCTCAGTCGCCAATGGTGGGAATATACAGGAGGATTTGATAGCCGAATGGAGATCTGGGGCGGTGAGAACATCGAACAGAGCGTCAAGACTTGGATGTCCGGTGGCGAGATCGTCGTTAACAGACTCGCAAAAATATCACATGTGTTCAGACCCAAGTTCCCATACACCGTCGACAACCGCAAAGTCAGCGGAAACAAACTTAAAACTGTCGACATGTGGTTCGACGAATGGGCGAATATTGTTAAAGCACATATTCATGGATATACACCATATGACACTTCCCGGAGGAATGAAAGCATCCTCGACCGAGCAATACAAAACCTGATCCACAACGGAGACGGAAAGGATGGGGACGGAAAGGACGGAGACGGAAAGGATGGGGACGGAAAGGACGGGGACGGAAAGGACGGGGACGGAAAGGACGGGGACGGAAAGGACGGGGACGGAAAGGACGGAGACGGAAAGGACGGGGACGGAAAGGGCGGCCGTAAGACTGATAATGACGAAAGTCATCAGTTTTCTAGAGGCATGGGGGGAAAGCCAGGCGGCCAGGTGGACCGTAAAGCTTTAGCCCTTGACCGGTCGTTCAACTGGTACATAGACAGGTTCAGACCGTCGCTTCTGAAGGCGAATTTAATCAACGTGCCGGCCTTTGTATTGCGGACTACGGACACCCACGAATGTCTGGCCGTAGAGCAAAGCACCCTTGACCTCAAACCCTGCAACATGACACGCGATGTGTGGGTACTCGATGGTTATAAACCGTCCGAAGTGTTTCCCAATGAGCGCCCGGTTACAAAACCGAAGAACAGCTGGTCGCATGACGACCTGGAGGGTCGTCACCTGGAAGATATGGGGGATGCCTTTGATACGATGCAGTGGCACCAGTCCAGATTGGGAGGCCAGGTCCGGGATAACCTTTACTGCGGAGCATCCCCTGTATGTCGCAAGAAGGCTGCAGTCCTCAGAAATCTTGACAGTGGCAAATGCATTGGAGCTCTCAGTACCTTTGACGCTTCCTTTGCTCACCAAGGTTTGTATCTTGGACTCGATACCAAATGCATGAGGGACGGTACCTACAGAGATTTCACAAAGAACATCGGATTTATACCGATCAATCCCAAGCCTCTCCGACAAATCAAATCCGACCACTTCCCCGAATACGAACTTAAAGAGGAACAATATGAAGATCTACTGGATATTCTTTTATTTGACTTTGTTCTGCCCCGACCGAGTAGACCCAGCATTCGTCTTGGCAAAACGAAATACCAACGAAGCATGAACTACACCTTACCGGACGCCGCAGGATTGGACTGGCTCGTGGATGTCTCCTGGGGATCCCTTTGTTTGGATTTAGACGAAGAAAGGCGCCCCATAACACGCGTGTGCGAGTCAACTAACACCAAGTGGCTTCTATCTTTTACGTCTCCCATGGACTCCTTCTGGTCCCTGACGTAGCCCGGTCGGCTGGGTCATGTCTGGTGTCATTGAATTCACACGCTCGACTTATATTTCGCCCTATAATCTCTTCCTATCTCCAAAGCTTCCAACTTGCTGCAGGTTTTTGAAACAGGTCTTCCTTCTTACCTGAGGGTTACAGGTCTTTCTTCTTACCTGAGGGTTAGCCGGCTCTTATCGCGACCTAGCCGGCTCTTATCGCGATCTAGCCGGTTGTTATCGCGGCTTGGCTAGTTCTTGTCGCGGCCTAGCCGCTTTGTGGCGGTTGAGCTGTGATTCATTCGTTTGCGCGCGGCTGGGGGAAGTTATTCTGATCGTTCGGTAGTCTTCTGATCCAAATAGCGGCAGCAAATAGGCGGTGGGGGCAAGGAGAGAGGCTTGTTTGTGCTAGCCTCATTGCTGTGTGTGTCAGAGATAGGTGCTGGAGCTGGTGTTATATTTTTCTAGTCCAAATTTTGAGCATGTTATTGTGGACGTTAGCTGTGGCGGCGGTATCAGCCGCGCCGGCTCTCAAGTACTTTGACGGGTATGACTCGACGGGTGAGGGTCTGCTGTTGCGAGCTTTAGACCCAAAGGAGCCTACTGTGCAGCAAGCGTTTATCTCTCCAAACGCAACCAAGTTTACTTTGAACTTGGAGTGTGCGCCAGGTCAGCAATTGTACGTGGACGGTGTTAAGCGGAAGCCGGGTGACTTTACGTTTAAGAAGGACGGCAGCCGTCATCGCCAGGTTGTAGAGGTGGTTTGCGAAGACCGATCGGTTGCATCGAGCAGTGGGTTACCAGACCGTCAGAAGAATGTATTTCTGGTCTCGGCGAACTATCCAGTGAGCGAGATTCCCATGCCCGACCTGCTCCTGAATGAGATTGGTATAGAGTGCGAGTCCAATAGTCAAACCAAGAAGATCAACTGCCCGGACCCTAAGCTGGAGGACAAAATGGCGACCGTGACGCCGGCGAAGCTTAAAGGTGACATTATGTACACCCTACACACATCGGACAATTCTGTGAACTTGCGTCTCTTGGATGGTAAGAAGAGTCTGCCCTTTAAGTACAACCACAGTTACTACCTCACGGCCAATGCGGGTACAGAATCAGTGACTTGGCCGGTTTCCTTCGGTGGGTCCTTTGGTTCTTCGCTCCTCTACTTGGTGGGGGCGTTTATTGGATTGAGTCTGCTGCTGCTAGTGTTGGCTATGCTTTTGGTCGTAGGTGGTGCTGAGGTCTTCGGGCTCGGACGGCCATTGGGCACCACTGAGATCGCCTCAATGTTGGCGCTCGTGATTCAGTTCTTTACCTTCGGTAACAAGCTTCGTGGCTCCGCTCCGATGGAGTCGCTGGCGACCCCGACCAAGTGGGTCTCACTCTTCTGGCCGGCGCCACAGATCACTAATTCATTTAACTACTCGCGCGTGGCAACGGACTTCGGCGGCGGTGCTTCCCACCAACCCGTCTTCTCCAAGGGCTACGGACTTCGTCTGTGGGGTGACAGCGTTATGGGCGATGTGACCGATGTTCGGAATGCTTGGGGCTGCCTCTTTTGGGCTCTGGCGTTTCTGATCGCCTTGTGTTTGCTACACGCAGCCATCCTTGGAGGCATGGCACAGCGCAAGAACGACCTCTTCACCATCCCACATCGCATGAAATTTGGCAACTGGGAACACCGCGCTCTTAACCTGCTCTGCTTCCCCCTCGCAATGGCCGGCACGCTCTGTATCCTGCACCCCCAATCGACCGTGCTGTGGGCTGTCGCGGGCGGGGCCGTTCTCGTCGGCCTTGCAATTTGGGTCCTTGGCGCACTCGCTGCTGTTGCCTCCGCCGTTCGTTCCGGAGAGGTAACCTGGGTCTGGGAGCACTCGGTACGTGAAACCGGACCCACACGAAAACGCGAACTCGAGGGGTACTGGTCCGACTTGGAGTGCGACCAGTTGCTCACGCAACCGGTCAACCGTGGCCTGTTGGGTAACTGCTTCGAGTACCGTTGGGTAAGCACAGTCGCTGACATCAAGCCCACGACCATCTCGGCATACGAAACCACTAGTAGCCGCCACTCCTACAGCTCCAGTGCCGAAGAGAGTGGCCTTAACCCGGTCCCGAAATTGAAGAAGGCCCACCGTGTGGCCGGTTACCCGCTGGCTAAGAACCCTCAGGTCGTGTTGGTAGAGCAGGCGCGCAAGCCCTGCGTTTGTTTCCGCGGAGACAGCCTCGTAGCTGGTGTGCTGCGTACGAAATGGCTCGATATCCTCTTCACGTACGAAGGCCTCACCAAGTTCTTAGAAGCCGACCAGGCTGAAACGCCGGTCCCGCTGCTCGTCAAAACTCACCAACTAGCCGGTCCCATTACAAACGGTGCGAATGCCTTCTTCTTTGATGGCGCGCGTGTGCCCTTCATCCGTGTGGCCGAAACACTGTGGAAACTTGCCATGGGCGTTCTCCTTGGAGTCGCCTGCACGGCGGAAGCCGATCGCACCGGCACTGTGTGCTACATCGCCGTGGCGCTGCTCTCCCTCGGCATGTGCGGCTACGTGCTTGGCACAAAACCCTACACCCGCCACCTAGACAACTTGACTGTCGCCTCCACCGCTGGGGTCCTGGGCGCAGCCGCTGCAGCCTACACAGTCTACACCTACAATCACAAGTCATGTCTCGCCGACCTATTCCTCCTTCTCTCCACCGTCTGTGCCACCCTCCTCGCTCTCTACGCCGTTTGGATCATTACTAGCATCGTCTCCGCCGTACTCTGCCCTCCCATGGACGAGTCCCGCTTCCTGGAAAAGCTCGCCAACTGCACTGTCATTGTAACCACACCCGATCATCAAGATGATTACCAAATGACCGGCTACAGCAAATACGCCGCACGCGACGTCGTAGCCAAAAGCACCACCGGCCGGAGTCAGAGCCGAAAATTCGGAACCTTCGAAGACCTAGACCTGAACTTCGAGCACCACGAAATCGCACAAGCTTGCCAGACCGGAGTACTACCCATCCCCTAAAGCAAAGACGAAATGGAATGACTAAACGCATAAGCCAGAAATACTCACGTCGGAGAGGCTCGTAGGCTATTCACTCAATGAGACCAACACGACGAATTATAGTTTTTTTTTGTTCAGCAAGATGCTGCAGAGATCATTGTCACTCCACCCCAGGGCCGAGCTGGGAAGAGCTACTCAACCCGGAAGGGGAGCTCAACCCGGGGAGAGTCAGGCACTGGGGTTACATTCACCAGCAGAAACCTTTTTGTGGTGGCAAACAAATTTTTTACACTATGTCAGATGACCAAGAAATGACTGTTAATGTGACCACTGTTCCTAAGCAGGACAAGGCACCGAAATACATGTACCCCTACAAACCACTTACGACCCAGGCCACCACCTACAGGTAAACTGACCTAGGTCAACACCTCCTACGGGGCGACACCTTTGGCGGATCGTGTGTGACCTTTGGCGTGAAACGTGTGTGGTATCTTAGAGGCTATCCGGTGAAGGGTTCGAAGGCATTCAAGGGTGCTTGGAAGGTCCAGATAGTGAGCCCGCAGTGCCGCTCGCCGCCGGAGCCCTTACCGCAGTTCCCACAACAGGAAATTTTGAAGAGGAACATCCGGGGTAATTATGAAGGCGCGGGCAGCATGAAGTTATCACCATCTGAGACGGCCAACAATAGTGGAGAAGCATACCTGCCGGTTGGTCAGGAGTCACCTTCGTCGGAATTCTTCTATACAGCTGGGTACGAAACTAACAGCGCAATCAAATTGAAGAAACAAGTCCAAGGATCCATCTACAGAAGCTTCGTCGCTGGCCAACCTGTGCCAGTCAAAATCCTTAAAGATGATGAGGACGAGAAGAAACAGCAGCAATGATGCTTGTCATTGTGTCACCTAAGTGTTTTTTGTATCTAGTAGATCACTCTTTCCTGATTGATATCTGTCCGTCCTCTAGCAGTTTTTCCGGCCACACCAAAATCAGTCTTGGTCACACTTGAACATTAAGTGATGGTTCTTTTCTTCTGGTCAATGGGACCGGGGGTCGTGATTCGGCTTTTGGGTCACCCGGCTTTTGGGCCACCCACCCATATAATGCCGAACTGGGGTGGCAGATTGCAGCGGATCGGGATGGATAACCGAATCCACTGTACGGCATTCCCATTCTCCGGTCGACCTCCTAGCAGGTGCCTTTCGTTTCGTTCAAAGCCGAAAACTCAGGATCGCTGTGATGACAACTAATTCAGTGCGCAGACTCAGTTAGTTAACAGTTGATTCGCAGAACTCGGTTCATGCGCTTGAAGTACGTGGGCTGCAGGGTGCCTGGGCAGGCGGCGCAAAACACCGTCAGTGCACGCACTGTTTGGCACCGGTCCGTCGAGGCCCACCGGTCGAATTGAACGAGCGGTTTCACTCTGAACCCGTCATCCTCATAGACAACTACATCATGCAAGTCCTCCCAACCGGGCACGTCCTCCAAACAGGACACCGATAACAAGGCACCATCTGAAAGATTGTCTGCTCCTACCGGTTGTGTCAGCGCTCCCATCGGCCGTGTAATGCTTGGTGTAAACTCCGTCTTGAACGAACTGGCGATGGGCGGGCCGGAAAAGCTTGTCGGCACATCATTTGTTCGTAACATGTAGAGCCCCTCAGATCCAGCGGGACAGACGGGGAGTACTTGTCCGGGGTCCGCAGCGGCTTTGATGATCTCGGCGAGGCCTAGCAGAGTCTTGCAATGGATCGTGTGGAGGTTCGGGAACCGGCGACAGAGATCGTCCATTACAGAATCAGCCGTCAACAGTTCCACCCGCAGCTCCAATAGACCTATGGATTCGAAACCGGGGGTGACTTCGGTGCAGTGGCTCATAACCAAGTTCGAACATCGAGCCAAAAACGGAGCCAAGTCCTTCAAGTCGACTAAGTCGGGTCGGGGAAGCACCAGGCGGCTCCTGCCTCGTAGGTCACTGCCCCTTGAGTCACTGCCCCTGGAGTCACTGCCCATCGAGTCACTGCCCCTGGAGTCACTGCCAATCGAGTCACTACCCCTGGGGTCATCAGAGGAGGGGGCCTCGGAGACGGTAAACGAGGCCGAAGCTGGTGGCGAGGACGAACCGCATATAACAGATGAATGGGCAAAGGATATTCGACGTCGAACAGGGGAATGAATTAGAAACGACAAGTACCTCTGTGATACAACCATGGCGGCATTGAGCGCAGGTAGGGAAGGTGGGTAGGGGAGGTGGGTGGGTAGTGCGACTGGTGGTGCTAGAGCGATGTTAAAACGTTTACGAGATGCGGCATGTCAATGACCACTGGACACGTGTTCGAGCCAGGCGAACAAATGACCAGGGACTCGATTGAAGTACACATTCCTACGGACTCCAGAAAGTCCAGCGATACAACAAGCTTCTTAATTGGAGCTGTGCCACCGATGTATGGCAACCCTTCCGTTTGAAACCGGGACCGAACATGCTGCACAAACTCCGACGAAGCTTCCGGACATTGGAGACACCTCAGTGCTGGAAAGGCCGTTGTCTACAAGCACAACGTCACAAGCCCCGCCGGCCTGTTCTTACACGGGGAGAGATGAGGGGAGCCAGACACACGCTGCCATAGCACTTGAGGTGTTTAATATTCGTAAACTCCGAGTACAGCGCTCGGTTCGCAATCTTCCGAAAGGTGACAGAGCTGGGCTTGAACGCCAGAATCAGCGTCTCCAGCAAATTTGAGCGGGTCGCGCGATCGAGAGCTAGGTTGGATCCCGCGTATAACACTCTTCGGGTCTTCCCGTACACGTCACGAGCTCTCTCGCAGTCTGGACATGGGCCCTTCAGGTGTGTGCCGAGGGTCGCTCTGTGTCGAGGGTCACTCTGTATCGATGGTCACTCTGTGTCGAGGGTCACTCTGTGTCGAAGGCCACTCTGTGTCGAAGGTCACTCTGTGTCGAGGGTCACTCTGTGTCGAGGGTCACTTTGTGTCGAGGGTGCGTCCACACGTGTGTGGCAAGGAAGTGAGTGTTAAGGCGACAAAGACTCACATCTGCAGAAGAACTCGGGGTCAAAAGGAAGGAGCTGGCACACAACGTAGTCAGGCATACGCCGTATATCCTCAGCAGAAATATCCGCGCGCTGATGTGGTCGCTGGTTCACTGTCCGCAAGACTTCAAATTGCAACTAAAACTTGGTTCAGGTATAGGGGGGCAGGGGCATGGATAAGGGTCCCACAGACAACGGCCCCACAGACAACGGCCCCCTAACAAGGTCCCCCAACAAGGGTGCCGAACATCACGCCGGTGTCATCCGTACATTACCAAGTTGTTGCATTCTGGCACGTTTAACTTTGCGGTCGACGTCCTCGAAGGGATCGTTTGCCTGTGGTTCGACCTGCATGCTGGCTACCGTGAATTGCGCCCTCGGCGTTTTCCGCCTCATCTGGGGCGTCTACAGTTTCTGCCTTTGGCTCCTGCCTTCTGTCTCCTGCTTTCCAGTTCCTGCCTGCCCCGTTGCTTTTCCGTTACTGTTCACGTATGACTTAGAACGCAGTGCTCGTCGCGTAGTGCTCGTCGTGTAGTGCTCGTCGCGTAGTGCTCGTCGTGTAGTGCTCGTCGCGTAGTGCTCGTCGCCTAGTGCTCGTCGTGTATGTTCTTTGTGTTGTGTTGTGATCTGGTCCTGAGTGGTTTGTCTAAATGGGTTGGTCAGATCTTTGACCTAATTTCGGTTAAATTCGAGTGCCGTGAAATTTCGACATGATGAACGCTGCAGCGAACTTGGCAGAGAGGGTGCTTGGTCACACGAACACGGACTGTAAGACGGAAGGTGAGGTGAGTGCGACTGAGAGCATGTTGGCGTGCACGTGGCAGGGCAAGAGTAAGTTGGAGATGCGGGAGGTACCACGTCCGACCATAACTGACGACGAGGACGCCATCATCCGAACCACTGGCTCGACGGTCTGCGGCTCCGATTTGCACTTGTTCAAAGGCGACATGGTTAGCATGAAGACGAATGACATCATGGGACACGAGTGCATGGGCATCGTCGAAGACATCGGCCCTGCCGTCACGACAGTCAAAAAAGGCGACCGAGTCGTCCTTGCTTTCAACGTGGCCTGCGGCAAATGTGAATACTGCAACAAACAACTTTACACCGCCTGCGACAATACCAACAACAGCCGGGTAATGGAGAAGCTGTATGGCCACAAAACAGCGGGCATCCTTGGCTACTCGCATGTAAGTTTTTGTGCCGCACACGTGTGGCCCACACACGCGTACCACATTCGTACCATATGCTTGTGCGTGGGTGGGTGTTATAGTGTCATGTATGTAGATGTTGGCGGGGTATCCGGGTTGCCAAGCGGAGTATGTGCGCGCGTTGTACGCGAACACGAATTTGTTGAAGGTTCCGGACCAGATGACGGACGAGCAGGCCTTGTTGCTGGCGGATATTGTGCCGACATCGTACCACGCCGTGTCAGACACGGGTGTGCAGGAGGGTGACGTCGTGGGTGTGTGGGGATGCGGGCCGATCGGGATGTTAGTGGTACAGTGGTTGGTGAATGTGTTCAAGGCGTCTCGTGTGATCGTGATTGACAGCGTACAGGACCGGCTGGATTTGGTGAAAGAACGTTTTGATGTGGAGACGATAAATTTTGAGAAGACGAAGAACGTGGTTGCGGCGATCCAAGAGTTGACGGCGAAAGATCAGGGAGAGCGTCTATCGGTTGCGTCGTCTCCGAACGCTCCGGAGGATATCGATATCGGTAAGTCCGTAGACATCGAGGGTTCGAAGCCTGAGGTTGAGGGCGAGAAAGAGGGGGAAGGGGAGGAGAGTAAGACGGGGGCAGGATTGAAGAGTAGCGATAGCAAAGGACTCAGGAGTAGCGAGAGCAAAGGTGATGGCAAGGGTGAGAAGAAGACGGAGTATATCAACGGCGGTTTAGACCGAGCGATAGACTGTGGCGCGTTCCGTTACACGAAGGGCATAATGCATAAGTTGGAACGTGCGTTGGCCTTCGAGACGGATTCTTCGGAAGTGATCAATGAGATGATTCGCGCCACCAAAAAGTTCGGCACCATTGGCCTTATCGCGGATTACGTGGGTTACTGCAACCATCTGCTCATCGGCGGCATCATGGAAAAAGGCATCCGGATGGTAGGCTGCGGACAGGCACCCATCCAGCGATATTGGACCACCTGTATCGAACACATAATGAGTGGCCGCTTTGATCCAACCGTTGTATACTCACATCGCGCGAGTCTCGAACAAACACCACTTGTCTACAAGCTATTCGACAACAAACAAATGTGGAAGGTCTTCCTCGAGACCAAAGCCTCCAATCCTCCCACGCCAGGACTTCCCACCCTTCGTGTACTAAGTGAATCCAAGTCCGCCAAAGTAGACGCTACAGCCAAACCAAGCTCATCCAAGTCACTCAAACCTTCCAAGAGCCACGGAGCTGATACCGGAGACCACAAGAAGAACATCAAGAAGGCTCACACTATTGGCACGACAAAAAAGAAGTCCAAAAGCTCCGCCAACGACGGCACTGCATCACCCGCCACCGAACAGGAACCCAACAACTAAGTGACCACCAACCTCCCCACCCCTCAAGTCGGGCGACCTTCAGGTCAAGCGACCTCCAGGCAGTCGATTTTTTGAAACACGACTATGCCGGGCTGGTGGCGTTTTTAAATTCATTCATGAGGCTGGCACCGGTGCTCTCGCCCGTGCGGACCATTGGGCTCATCTGCAACCGGCTGCCGGTCAGTGTATATGAGTACGGGACGCAGAAGTTCATCCTGGCCGCGGCGGGTACGAGCTTCGTGGTCTACGATGCAGATACCCTGCGCATCAAGTTTACCTCGCGCCTGTTCGAGTCGCCAATTGTCGCCCTCGCCGTGGAACCTAAGACGGCGGAATACACCTTCGTGGCCACTGCCGATGGCAGCATAATATGTCGGCACCGCCATCAAGATGTCTGGCTCTACCACAACGGCAACACCGTTTACTACCCAGACCTCACCCAAGACCCTACCCAGGACACCACTGAAGACCCCAACCTGGACACCACTGAAGACCCCAACCAGGACACCACTGAAGACCCCAACCAGGACCAAGACGCCTCAGAGCCGGCGTTAGGTCTGTCGGTGGCAGATGGGTGGTTGTTGGCTTTCTACCGGAGCGGGCACGTGTTACGGTTGGCTGCGGGGACGGGTGCGGTTGCGAAGCGGTTTGCGTTGCCTGAGTTGCAGCCGTTGGGCGGTGTCTTGGGATGTGCGGCCGCCGCCAGGTCGCTGGCCCCAGTCTCCGTTCAGGTCTTAAACTCGGTCTCGAGTTCTTTGAGTGCGCGGTACTATATAGGCGGTTTCGGGTCGCTGGTGGCGGAGGTGGACACGGCGACGGGGACGGTCGTGCGACGGTTACGGTCGGCTCAGCGGGCCATAGCTTCGCGACTGGAAGGTTGGAACCGGACATTGGCAAGCCCTAGCGTGCTCGACGATTGGCAGGTGGATGTGGTCGAGACGACCGACAGTCCCGCGCTGTTTGTTGCGGCCAATTCGCGTCGTCCCGAACATCGGCATCTTCTTCCCGCCGTGGTCTGTCTTCTTGATGAAGAAAACGACCAGTGTCTCGGCACCATAACTCTTGCCCGCGAACAAGGCAGGGTGAACGCGCTCGCTTTCAAACGACGACTCGACCAAGGCAACGGTGGAGGCAAGGGCCACCCTGCCGACGGGGACGACGACCCTGCTGACGGAGACGACCCCGCCGAACGTGTGCTCCTCTACATCGCCTGCGCAAACGGCGACATCGTCGTCATCGACGTTGACCGCATGCAACTTGCGCACACTCTCAAGGGCGCACACTTGTCCGACAAGATCTCCGCCGCGGACCACAAGACCGGCCAGTCGCCGGCGGACGCGTTGGTGGACTGCTGCAGCACAGGTGTATGTTCATTGCGCGCACTCTCTCCGGGCGGCACTTGCGGCTGTCTGTTCGTCAGCAGCGGCAGTGACAACAGTTTGAAGGTGTGGCACATTGAGGACGTGGCGCACGGCGCGAGTGTGTTGAAGCAACGCGCCGCACTTTCGGGAACAGTCGCGCAACTCGCGTTTTACGACGACGGCGACGAGGCCAAACAACTCCTTGCCGCCTGCAACACCGGCGGCCCCTGCAACATCGGCCATCCCGGCTGTGGTGCCACGGGTGCTGGTACTGGACGTGTGGGGGAGTTGAGTTACTACCAAGTGCAGCAGCACTTCGTGTACCCAACGGAGAAGGCATTGCGGTCGATAAACGCAGCGCGTAAAACGTCGTTGCGCGATTTACCACCGATTTTGTGTCTGGCGTTTGTGCCGGATCGGCACTATGACTGGCCGAATGTGGTGACAGTGCATGCGGGGAGGCATGAGGTGTATCTGTGGAGTGCCGAACGGCGCTGTTTGGTGCCGGCGGTGATGGAGAAGGTGCGGCGCGCCATAGGAGGCGAAGATGGAGCGGAAAAGCGCGCGGCAGAGCAGACGCTGACTAACATGCTGACGGAGATCGCGGAGCTCAAGGCAGACGCGACCTTCGGACGAGCACCCGCCACCGGGGTGGCTCTCTCGCAGTGCGGCCACTTCGCCGTCGTGGGCTACGCGGATGGGACTGTTCACCATTTCAACCTTCAGTCACGCCGACCGGTGGGCTGCTTCACAGCACACCCTCCAGACCTGGAGACAGTGGAGCAGCTCGAGGCGCTAGCCGCAGCCACGATTCAGGAGACCGATAGTCTCAAGGGTGCCAAAAAACGCAGAGTCATCAAGCAAAAAATCGCCGAACAAAAACGCCGCCGCGCACACAAAACGGAACCACCACACACCGGACCCGTGCGGTTCCTCCACACGCTACAAAGCACCACTCTCTTCACCGCCTCCGCCGCCCCCGGCGATTTGGCGGTCAAAGTCTGGGATCTCCGCACAAAACGGTTGCTCGACCAAGTCGACCTAGCCGCCCTTCTCCAAGGCGCCGGGAAACACCTCCGCAAATCGCGCTGGGACGATCTCACACAAGTCGCCATCACCAAGGCCGTCTTCGACGGAAACGTCGCCACCATCGCTTTTACTGGACCCGACCACACCTCTCTCGTCCTGGTCGCAGACCTTCTCCGAAAGTCGCTCTTCCGCTGCTACGGGCCCCTGGCTGGCCGAGTCCTGGACGCGAACATATCGCCCCTCGGCAACTGGCTGGCACTCTCCGTCACCCACGGCACCGCCGAGACGGCCGGGACGGAAGGCGATTTGATGATTTACGACTTGGTGAGCAACAACTTAATTGAGTGGATGCGTTTCCCCTGCGCCGTGACGGCGTTCACGTTCCATCCGTCGGGCGCGTTCGTCTTGACTGCACACGCCCCGAGCAGCAAGACACACACGTCGGGTAGCGGGGCGCAGGACCGGCTGACGGAGGCCCTCTTTCCTAAGGGCGCTGTGTACGTGTGGGCGAATCTGGCATTGTTCACCTCGGAGTTGCGTACGAACCAGACGGGTCGCGTCAAGCATCCGCGGGCGGTCGAGTTACCGCCCGTTGACATGACCCCGGAGGACGAGCCGGAGGACGAGCTGGAGGACAAGCTGGATATGGCGCAAGCTACGGACTGGGTCCGGCACCTACCGGACACGCCGGACGTTGACTGCCTCAAGAGCGATCCGCGTTGGGGCCCCATCCAACTCGGACGTTTACTTAACTGGGAGACCATCCGTATCGAGGCCGAAAAACCGCGTGTGGAACGCAAAGACGACGAACTACCCTTCTTCCTTTACAGCGAAGTCAAGGCAAGCATGCCCGTCACTCAAACAGCCACCCACGACCAAGTCAAGTCTGCGGAAGGCGATCTACCAGGCTGGGGCGACGGTGAAGACACGTGGATGACTCAGGCGTCCTCGCCCGCGACCGCAGCCACTGTCGGCGACCAGACACCGGGACCCGGCGACGAAACGCTTGGCCACGAGAAGACTTCTCGAGAGTCCCGAGAGGATGCGGTGAGTCTGGAAGGGTTATTGGCGCTGAGGATCCCGCAAATCCATCTACAGATTTTGAACCTCAAATCCGACCAAGATCGCCTGCAGTTCCTGAAAGCGCTGGCGCACTGGTGCCAGGAGGGCGTAGCTGTGGACTTCGTGCAAGTCTTGGTCAAGCTCTTCTTCCACTACCACGGTGAGCATCTGTTCAACACACTCTCCAAACAGCCGGTGGAACATAACGCAGTCAAAACCGAATATGTCAAGCTCGTTCACGCTATTCACACCGTCTCCTCCGCACATTGGAACAAGCTCGGCGTCATGCTCAATAGACTCATATGCTACATCAAACTCATATCTCTTCTCCAATTCGAGTAACGCTTCCGCCGCCTCCGTTAGGACATGGTTCCACCAGGACACGCGTGTCGGCCTGGATGCGTACGTCTCCACGGGGACTTTGTCAACTCGGCTCAAGTCATGGTTTAAAGCCGACTCTACTCCCGTCCTTTACTCTTTTTAGTATCAACCACCATTGATCTTCAATGACACGTTCGGGAGCGCTGACTTGGTGGGGATCACTCGCTTTTAGGCCTACATGCATCGCGCCTTGGCGCAAATCCGTCGGACGTTGGCGCCTCCTATTACAGGTCCTCCTAGTCGTAATGTGCGATGCTCCTAGTAGTGCTACTTTGTCAGTTTGAACCCGTCCCATACAGCTTGATACGTATTGGCCCATACATCGGGTGCTTCGCCCATTGCTTCCTCTGGTTGGATCTTGCCCTGTAGGGCCTTGCCTTGTAGGGTCCTGCCCTGCTGGTCGTTGCCTAGCTGTGGGGGTCTTGTATCGGCGCATGTTCGCCACTGTTTGGAGATGTTCAGGAGATCTTGGAACCAGTGGCCGGGTTGCGAGCTGTGTATGCGGTAGTGGATGAATTCGATAGTCTGGAGATAGTTGGCAAGGTTGGCGGAGGCGAGTACCATGGTGCTGGTGCCAAGAGCGACGAATGAGAAGCGGCTTTTTTCGCGGTGCATCGTGGCCCAGTCGGAGGGAGCGGTCATAACGTTGCGGAGGGAGTCCAATAGCTCGGTGCAGAGACTGAGGTTCATGTCCGCGGGCCAGGCCTCGAGCGCCTTGGGCCAGACGACTTGGAACAAGTCATCGCGCCGTTCTAACTCGCGATAAAACAGCGCTAAACGAACCGGATCTGACATTGATACTACCGGAATATCCAGCCCACCTAGCTCATCAGGTTCCTCCGAGTGGTGCGCCTTCTCCAACGAAAAAAGCGCACGGAACGCTCTATTAAAGAATACCGACCGAGGGTCTGCAGAACCACATCCGTACAAACCTAGAGCTATCATCGTGTGCAATACCGCTTTATCGATGTGCTGACCCAGAATGATCCACTCCTTTGACAAGAAGACGGCCAACTGCTCACACACATCTGCCAACTCCGACGACCCTTCCCCCCTCTGATTGTCCCCTTCCTCCCCCGGGTGATCCTCCCCCGGGTGATCCTCCCCCGGGTGATTTTCCTTGTTCCGCCGACCTTCCTCCCGACTTTCTTCCCGCCCATCCGCCCCTTCAGTTTCCATACGGTCGTTGATTGGGGTCCCCTCAGTCTCCCTCCCGGGTGTTACTGGTTGTTCGGTGTCTCGGTCTCGTTGCTCAAGTTGGAGGAGACCTACCACGCGGTCGACAAGGTAGAGGACATTGTTGAGTGCTTTGCGGAAGGCGGCTTCCGGTACGAGTCGTTGGCAGATGGCTCTGAGAATTTCTCCGGGTTCAAGTAGTTGTGTTCTCGACTGGAGGACGACTTTGAGTGCTTTTTTGAGGTGCTCTTTGCTGTGGCTCACATTCAGACAGCGGCGCGTGAGATCGAGATTGTGGCGAAGGTAGCCAAAGAAGTCGACTTCCATGCACATGTTGTGACTGTGGTGGGTGTTGCCCCAGTGTGGTAGTTCCTCTGTGCCAAAGTAGTGTTGGAAGTAGCGGCAGTGCATGAGGCGAAGGCCGGCTCTGGCAGGTTTGCCGGGTGAGTCGGTGGCTAGTTTTGCGAAGTCTCTGGGCAAGATGTGGCCAGTCCGAAGCTCAGGCAAAAAGGAGTCGATTGGTGCTTCCAGCCAGTACTGCAGTACCCAACGCAGATATGCCCGTTCATGCTCGTCCAAGGCTGCGCACCGACTGCTCAGCTGGTGCACCATCATCAACACGCCTGGAGTCATATGTGGTGCGTAGTTGGCGCTGCGTAACCCGTGCACAGTCCATCCCAACAACCCGTTGCACGTCTTGCCCGTCACCGCCTTGAAATCCAAGTCACGTGTAAACCGCTGGAAATTCAAATGCTGTTTGCGTCCCGGCTCGTTAAGCACCGAAAACAAGGTCAATGGGAATCCACTGCTCCGGGTAGGCAGATTCATCACAGCGTACAATGGATCAAACGTCAATGTCAACTCATTCTCAGGCGTCGTCAGGCCCGTCGGGTCCTCCAGCTGATCCAGCGCCGAGTGGAAGAGCACGTGGTATGTCGCCTCCGTGGGGAACATGATCCCAGCCCCTGCCACGATCTGCTTGATGCGGCAGTTAACCACCAACTTGAGAACCAATCGCTGCAGCTCTACCGACGGTCGCTCTACCGGTCGCTCTACCGACGGTCGCTCTACCGCCCGATCCACTGCCCCCCGATCCATTACCGCCCCCCGATCCATTGCCCCCCG